TTCCTGCTGCCTGTCTATCCAGATGTAGAACTCTCAGTTGCCTCTCCAGCACGATGTCTGCCTGCATGCTGCCATGCTTCCTGCCATGATGACAATGGACTAAACCTCTGAAACTGTAAGCCAGCCCCAATTAAATGCCTTCCTTTATAAGAGTTGCTGTGGTCATGGTGTCTTTTCACAGCAACAGAAACTCTAAGACAGGACTTCTAAAAGTTGAGTACATAGAAGTAAAGAAAACAGTGATTACCAGAAGCTGGGAGGTGAGGGGCTGTGGAGATACTGGTTAAAGAACACAAACTTTGTCAGTCTCTTCCTGAGACTGACAGGAAGAATAAGTGGAAAACATGCAAAAATTAAACAAACAAACAAAAAAACTCCTGTCAGAAGCAGACTTTGTCCATTATCTGACACTAAACGCTTCTGTTTTGCATGTTCAAGCGAGCACACTAAGTTTATGTCGATTTGTCAATAGTATCCATCCCTCCTGAACCTCTGAGGTTTTCATGAGCCCCTGTCCTCTGCTCTGAACTCCTTGGTTCTACTCTTCCCCCTGAACTGACTGCTACTATTCATTCTTTAGACAACATTAGCTTGGCAGGAGACAGAAACAGGTGGGACTACGAGGCAGAGAGAATAAATAGGAGGAGAAATCTTGGGAAGAAGAGGAGGAGCGAGAAAAGGAGAAGGAGAGGAGGACGCCAGGGGCCAGCCACCCAGGCACCCAGGCACCCAGCCACCCAGCCACCCAGCCAGCCAGCCAGAGTAAGAAGGATAGAAAGACATATAGAATAAAGAAAGGTAAAAAGCCCAGAGGCAAAATGCAGTTAAAGAGAAACAGAATAATTTAAGTTAGAAAAGCTGGCTAGAAACAAGCCAAGCTAAGGCTGGGAATTCATAAGTAAGAATAAGTCTCTGTGTGTTTATTTGGGAGCTGGGTGGCAAGCCCCCAAAGAGTAAAAAACAAAAAAACAAAAACTACAGCTCTTGGACCTACTAGCCATAGGATAGGTAGCAAAAGTTTCAGGATAGATACCTGACCACATTACAGTCAAGCCCAAAAACTTCAACCAATGAAAAGGGTACCATAAAGAATACACCATTCACCCAAAAGACAGAACATTTACTTGGTGACTCCAAATCATCTTGTCCCATCTCAGTCTATGGAAGGAAATATGGTAAGAAGTCTGACCTGGTTCTGTCCTTTAAACAATATCATCCACATCTGCTGTGGATATCACTCTGTATAAATAAAATGCTTATTGGCCAGTAGCCAGGCAGGAAGTATAGGCGGGACAAGCAGAGAGGAGAATTCTGGGAAGTGGAAGGCTGAGTCAGAGAGACACTGCCAGCTGCCGCCATGAAAAGTGAAATGTAAGGTACCAGTAAGCCACGGGCCCTGTGACAACTTATAGACTAATAGAAATAGGTTAATTTAAGATAGAAGAACTAGATAGCAAGAAGCCTGCTACGGCCATACAGTTTATAAGCAATATAAGTCTCTGTGTGTTTACTTGGTTGGGTCTGAGCAGCTGCAGGACTAGCGGGTGAGAGAGATTTGTCCTGACTGTGGGCCAGGCAGAAAAATTCTAGCTACACACATCCATCAGAAAATTCATAAATTATCAACTGGCCTGCAGTGATGCTTCATTCATTAGGCTGGGGTAGAATGTAGGCAATGTTTGTAGACAATTCCCCAGAGGGCACTAGCATTTCTACACATTTTTTCCAACAGAGTTTATATTCTAGATTATGTTTTAAAGCACATTTGGACAGTCTTGAAAGATATTGAGATAATATCTCCTTCTGGACAGACAGTTGCTCTGTTTGCTGTACACTAAAATAAAGATAACATCTACTTTGAAGATTAAACACCCTTTAACCCACTATAAATTACTGGAGTTTCTTAATCTCAGGGTGTCCAGCTGTGATGCAGCCCCATTAACTGCTCACACGGGCTCTTGGTATTTGAGAACAAGAGACATTAATGTGAATATGAAACGTACACTTCTGACCCTTGAGCTGTAGCCCTCTGCTAGATCCATGCAGGCAAGCTGATTAGCCTGCAAATTGAGTAAAATCTCAAGCCCCTTCAATTTGGGGGTAAGTATTAGCACTGTAGAAGGGCGCCAGCTACTTCGAATGAGTGACTATGGCAGGGAATCACTGTCTTCCAAGGACATACACAGAGTCTGATTCCTTGTAGATGTTGCTTTCATTTACTGTCTTAACCAATATTCTCTGTAGTTTTCTTCTTAGAATGCAATTTCTGTGCCTTTGCCCTTGGAACTTCTTCAAACTATCCATCCCTTTGTGTTTCCCAGGCCCCCTTTAACCTGAGATAGCCTCAGTTCTGCTTCATGTTCTGGAGCCCCAGCTATCCTTATGTTATATCTATCCTTACTACTGTAAGCCAATGGCTCTGACCTTCTCTGACCTCTAAAGGGGAGCATAGGAAACATTGTGGGGGGGAGAAGGGAGTTTCTAAATATCAAGATGCTTTTGCAATGGCTATTTTTATGTCAACTTGACACTGACACGAGCAAGGGTCATTTGGGAAGAAGAAACCTCAATTGAGAAAAATGTAACCACCAGCCTCGCCAATGGGCAAGCCTGTGGTGCACTTTCCTGATTGGTGATTGATGTGGGAGGGCTCAGTCTATTGTGGACAGTGCTACCTCTAGGTAGGTTAGGCCCTGGGGAGTGATCTAGTAAACAGCACTACTCCATAGCTTCTGCCTCAGCTCCTGACTCCCGGTTCCTGCCCTGCTTGCGTTCCTGCCCTGACTTCTTCCAGTGATGAACTGTGATGAGGAACTGTAGATTGAAATAACTCTGTCCTTCCCAAATTGCTTTTTCCACAGCAACAGAAACCTCAGCTAAGTCGGCTGAGCAGCAGAAGGTGAGGCATTCAGGGCAAGCATAGAGATTAGAATCCGGGTGAAGATTTCACGACGAACGTGGGCATTTTACCAAAGCGTAAATTCTATAGTTCGCACAACTCTAAATCCCACAAGGGGTTCAAATGTGAAATGTCTCCATAGGCCTCCTTTTGCACTTGGTCCCCAGATGGTGGCGCTGTTTGAGGAGACGGAGGAACTTTTAGGAGGTAGAGCCATGCTGGAGAAAATGGGTCGCTAGGCATGGGCTTGATGTCTACAGCCCCACCTCGTTTCTCTTCACTTCCTGCTTTCTGACTACAGCTGTAGTGTGACCAGGCGTCCCCTGCTCTTGCAGCCATGCTTTCCCTGCCTTGATGGAACGGATCCCCTCAAACCTTAAACCAAAATAAATCTCTTCTTCCTTAAATTGGTTCTAGTCAGGTGCTTTCTCAGTGACGGGAAAGTAGTACACCGCCCTAGTAAGGCATTCACAGGCTCAAAATGGGGCGTTTTTATTCCCCTAGGATTGGCATGTCTTTGACATTTGCTTTTGGTTACAGTCATATAAATTTCTCAATTTATACTTGTTCATCTGTTCCCTATTTTTTTTTTCATCTTCAAACATGAGGATCAACTATGTTTCAAAGCTCTGATAGTCAATGGGAAGATAACATGCATTGGCTGGGCCTGGAGAAATGGCTCAACAGTTAAGAGCACTGGCTGCTCTTCAAGAGGACTCAGTTTCAATTCCCAGCATCCACATGGCAGCTCACAATTGTCTGTAACTCCAGTTCCCAGGGACTGACTCCCTTCGGGCTTCCATGGACACCAACCATGTATACAGCACACAGGCAAAACATCCATCATATCAGATAGTAAGAAATATTTTCAAATGCATTGGATATCCTTGCAGACCTTACAGTGACCAGTTAATCAATCCAGAGACATATTCAACAGAGGAATTAGAATTCATCATATATGTGCAGCATAGAGACAGCTGTGAACAAAGAGTTCTAGACAGCATTCTCTTTGTTTCTAACCATCACTGTTCACTCTTACAGAAGCCATTCATATGTACAGAAAACCAAAGGACACTTTTCTGTGGGGAATGGTGATGTGTGCAGTGGTATTTATACTGTGCTCACAGTTCAACATCATTTCATTTCTAGGATATAAATGTTGGCCTATTCAAAAGAAAAAATGCCAAACCATTAAATATACATATTTGAAAACTACTCTTTTTATTTTCCTTAAAAATGAGATTTTTCTTTTCCTATCCTTTTATTCTTTTTTTTTTTCAAGACAGGGTTTCTCTGTGTTGTTTTGGTGCCTTTCCTGGATCTTGCTCTGTAGACCAGGCTGGCCTCGAACTCACAGAGATCCGCCTGGCTCTGCCTCCTGAGTGCTGGGATTAAAGGCGTGTGCCACCACCGCCCAGCCCTATCCTTTTATTCTATTCATTTGTTTTTCACTGTGGGTTTCAGAAGGGAGAACCAGGCATGGGAGCACACACCCGTGGTCCGAGCTACTCAGGAAGTTGAGGTAGAAGGATTGCTCGCACTCTGAATTTCAAGACTAGACAACAGCTCAAAATAAACAGAAGGGAAAACTGCATACACATAAGGAGGAAAGACATAAATAAAAACAAAGTTTAAACAAATATTCTCAATTATAATCTGCCATTGTTAGGTGAATATTTAACAATCTGTCATCCTGATTTCTTATTAAGATACAGAAATCCTCAGATACTTAGTATTCTTATCAAACACCCTCTGGGCACATACTAGAGAGAAAAGAGTAAAATATGGAAGAAGACAGTTTAAATTGATGGAGTGAATTATGCTGCTTATAATTGGAGTAGGCATAGCTTTTTAGTAAGATGTGAAGTAAGCTGAGGGTGGTGGTGATAGGTGGGGCGGGGATACACCCTTATGGAGGCTGAGGCAGGAAGACAGTTAAGTACCAGAGCAACCTAAGCTATAGTGAGATCCTGAGTTGAAAATAAAAACTAAAAAACCAAAATGGAACAAAGAAAAAGCCCAAGGTCACTGAATACCTAATGCCATCATTCCATGTGGATGTGTGCCACAGCTGATTAAGATAAGGTAAACCGATTCTGACCTGCATATTGCCTCTTGCCTCCAAGGTCAATGAAATTGTCCTCCTGTTCTTCATCCAGAAACTGGACTTCCTTCTCATGCACGAGCTGTGTGATCACGGTCTGTAGTTGTTTGACCCGAGTCTCAAGTTGGTATACCTGAGCTCTGAGCCTTTCCTGCTCCTGCAAACAGTTGGCATTCTCGAGGGCCTGCAAGGCAATGTGCATCTCATGTTCATGGAAAAGAGATGTTGCTAATAATCTCGATAAACCCTTGATCCGATTTTGTCTCCTACTCCCATACCAGAACACTATTTCCACCAGAAAGTCATTTCATTTTCCCCAGAACTTTGAGTAAGTTAATCTTTTGTCCTTTTGGTACAGGTAAATGAGGACACAAGTTCATTGACACCACCTTCAGATAATCGTGGTAGTATATGATAATTATGTCCAATATTGGCCCAAGGCCAATATGAACTACCAAGGCCAGTTTTGAATGCCTGAAATCATGCAAAAAAAAAATAACAGCTTAAAAATATTTCACTTATTTGTTATAATTCCTAATTTTTATTTTTAAAATGTTTAAGTGTTACTATGTGCCACATGTTTCCACAGAACTTTTTCATTCCTCAGCAGCAAGTTAATATAGGTTTTTTTTTTAAAAATTAAACAGAAATTCCATCTCTAAGTGGGCCTTATAGATATAATAGTCTGCACAAAAGGCTTACCCAGGTTTCCCTGCCCATTATCAGAGCAATGGTGACCAGGACGAAGCTGTGAATCTCCCCCATTCTTCCCACTTGAAAGAACTACAAGGGAAAGAATTCCTCATGAGACCAGACTCAACTGGTTCAGATAAAACCCCAGAGCTCCTGGGGGTTACCCAGAAATGTATCCCCTACTTACCATTCAGCCTTCTGTCACACAAAACGATGGGAGCCAACCACATCAAAGCTTAGAAATCATTGAACCTGCTTGGTAACACAGACACAGGGTTTCCAGTTTCATCGAGGGCTCGAATGTGTTGCTTTGTGAGAGTGTGGAAAAGGACAGGAAAAGGAAGAAAGACCTGGGACCACCTTTTGGCTCAGCCAGGTCCTAGCTGTATGACTCCAGGCAACTTACTAAAGTGTTCCTGTTCTGTAAAGTGGAGGTTCCTAACCATCTTACATACTGCAGAAATTCTGAGATAATTCTTTTAGGTATCTGGGCATGCATGTGCTAAATAAATACCAGATAATGATGTGGAATTTCTAAGGGGAGGACTATTTTTATTTTTAGAAGAAGAAAGTTATAATAGGGGGTTGCTGTGCACTGTTTTCTTTCTTCCTTCCTTCCTTCCTTCCTTCCTTCCTTCCTTCCTTCCTTCCTTCCATCCTCCTCCTCCTTCCTTCCTTTCTTCCTCTCTCTCTCTTCCTTCTTTCCCTCCTTCCTTCCTTTCTTTCTTTCTTTCATTTGTTTTGAGACAGGGTCTCACTATGTGTATCCCTGGTTGGGCTGGAACCCCCTGTGTATGCCAGGATGGCCTTGAACTCACAGACTCTGGTTCCCAAGTACTGTAAACTCTTTATCTTGATATTTTTCTTAATATGTATTAAGAAATCATGATAACGTAAAATGTTAAGTTCTGCTTTATTAAATTTGTGGGAGAAAGCTAACGTTACAGCTGCTGTTTCTCCTCCTTCTCACTCCCCCTCCTCACCCACCTTTCTTCTCTTCCCCTCCCCTCCTCTCTCTCCTTCTCCAAGGTCTCATTTTGCAGCCCAGGCTGACTTCAAATTCAAGACCCTCCTGCTTCTACCTTGAATGCCTGGCTTCCACTTCTTGAGATTGCCTTTTTCAGGGCTAAAAATCAAACCCAGGAGCCTTGTGCATCTAGGCAAGTTCTCTCCCACTAAGCTATAGCTCAAGCTTTTTACATCAGACCTGAAGTCATGACTTCTGTTGAAAACCTTTGCTCATACTCAGAATAACTTCAGGGTGTGGTCGCATGATGAGTTTTTCATAAACTTTAGAAGTTAATGGCAGAAGATATTTGCATAATCTTAAGTTTTATGTACAATTCCTGCTTGAATGAGCTGCATTATTTATAGGCCCATTTATTCTGGTAGAACGTATGATGGCTAATCTTTCTTATCAGTCACTTTCTCTACCTTTTTGTAACAAAATAAATGGTTCCTAAACTTCATTACTCACTGAGATCAGAGTGAGGAGCTTTACAAAGAAAACTTTGTAACGTTTGTGTCCAAAGATTAATTTCTATGTCTATAGGTGGTAGTAGCTCAGATTGGCTTGGAACTCACTGTTTCCCAGGTTAACCTTGAACTTGGGGCACTCTTCCTGCCTTCACTGGGATTACAGGTGTAAGCACTAGAATGTATTGAAGACTTCCAAGAAATTCTAGTGAATAGCAAAGTTTGAGCACAGTGATTTAACACTTAAACAATTATTGAAGTCCACACCTATAAGTTGGGAAGTTCTCAGTTCCCCTGGGGTCAATAAAAATGGTTCTAGAATGGGAAGGGCATTGATCAATGGAATAGAATTGAAGACCCACATGCAAACCCAGCCCCCTACAGACACCTGGTTTTTGATAAAGAGGCCCACAATTCACATTTGAGAAAAGATGCTTTCTTTAACAAATGATGTTAGTCAAACTGGGTAGCTACGTGTAGAGGAATGAAATTGGATCCTTATCTCTCACCAATCAAGGATCTCAACATAAGACCTGATACCTCCACTCTCACAGAGGTCATTGGTACAGGAAAGAACTTTCTAAATAGGCTCCCAGAAGCCAAGTCATTGCAATCAAATTGATAAGTAGGACCCCATGAAACTAAAAGGCCATGGCAAAGACCATAATTATTTGAGTGAAGAGGCAATCTACAGAATAGGGAAAATCTTTACCAGTTACACATTGGACAGAGAATTAGTATCTAGAGTGTACAAAGAACTCAAAAGATGAAACTCAAAAGAGAAAACAAACAACCCAATTAATAATGGAACATGGAACTAAACAGAGTTCTCAGAGGGTGAAATATAAGTTTAGACGAGAAACATTTTTTAAGTGTTCAACATGCTTAGCCATTGGGGACATTCAAATTAAAACTGCTTTGTGGTTTCATCTTTTCTAGTCAGAATGGCCAAGTTAAAGAAGAAAAAGAAAATGAATGACAATATATGTTGGCACGAATGTTGAGAAGAGGAACTTCACTGCTGCTGGGAGTATAACTGGTGCAGCCACTGTGGAAATCCGAGAGGAGGTTCCTCAAAGAGCTAGCAATAGATCTACCATAAGATCCAGCTGTATCACTCTGGAGCAGATACCCAACCGGCTCTTCCCCTGATGTTAAGATAGGAGTTCGCCATGCTCATTGCATCCCAGATGTCCACCAGTCGATGAATGGTTAATGCAAATGTGGTACATTTGCATAGCGGAATTATTCAGCTATTGAAAAATTGAATTAGAAAATTTGCAAGTAAATGGATGGAGTAGGAAACAAGTATTCTGTGTGAGATAACCCAGACCCTAAAAGATAAACATCTCATGCTTTCCCTCATCTGTGTATGTATATATATATATATATATATATATATATATATATATATATATATATATATATATATACACACACATATATATATGTGCACATATGTTTCCTTTGGTATACCTATAGAGGTTAAAAAATAGTAAAGGGCCACTGGTAGTGGAGCTTTGGAGGGTGGGAAAATACCGTACATTGGAACAAAGGACTACAGGGGAATAATGGAAGAGGAAAGACTCTAAGAGACAGGGTTAGTTGATGACTACATTGAAATGGTATTTTTTAGACATGAGCATTCACACACGTATGAATTCATATGCTATGATTCTGTGCACAAACCCTGCACAAGATGAGTTCAGACAAAGTCCAAGCATGGATGGGAGAGGGAGTCACAAAGTCCCACCTTCAGCTGGGTAGTTATTGGCAATTGGTGGCTGATGGGGGAGAGTTAACTTCCTTCAGATGTGGCCCCTGAGAGGCTTCCCGTGCTCAAGTAGGTGGTCCCACACCCTTGCACATAGAGGCAGAAGGTTTAGAAAAAGTTAGTAGATTTTAAAAAATAGAGAGCACATAAAGGTGGGAGAGAATAGTGGTCAGGGGATAAGGAAGGAATTGGAGAGGAGAGTACAGAGAATGGTAAAATGGACTTGATAAAACTGCTTTTTTAAAAATGTAAACATTAGGGGGCTGGAGAGATGGCTCAGCAGCTAAGAGCACTAGCTGCTCTTCCAGAGGACCCAGGTTCAATTCCCAGCACCCACATGACAGCTCACTCCAGTTAACTCCAGTTCTAGAAGATCCAACACCCTCACACATCCATAAAGGCAGGCAAAACACCAATGCACATAAAAAAGCAAAATTTTTTAAAAAATATAAACATTAAATAAAAATTAAAATCAGGTAAATAAAAAGTGCTTTGGAATATATATTTGGAATGTATATAACATATAATTTGATATGCATATATAACTATTATTACATTATATATTACATAACACATATAAATATTGCTTAGGGGACCAGCAAGATGGCTCAATGGTAAAAAAAAAAAAAAAAATGCCAAGAAACTAGAAGACAGGCATTCCATCCTCAGACCTACATGATGGAAGGAGAGAAGGGACACCCAAAAAACATCTTAAAGCCTTCTTCACTTCTGGGATCCTCTGACTTACATACATGCAGGCATGCACATATCTACACACACACACACACACACACACACACACACACACACACACACACAAATAAATTATTAAAGAAAAGGTTTTCTAAATTAAAGAAATATTGCTTATCATTAATATTTAGTAGAAAAATTGTAAAAGCTGGGCTGGAGAGATGGCTCAGAGGTCAAGAGCACTGACTGCTCTTCCAGAGGACTTGAGTTCAAGTCCCAGCAATCACATGATGGTTCACAACCATCTGTAATAAGATCTGGTGCCCTCTTCTGGTGGGCAGGCATACATGCAGACAGAACATAGCATACATAATAAATAAATAAATAAATCTTTAAAAAAAATTGTAAACACCATATGAAGTTGAGTATTTTTCTTTCCAAGTCTGTGAAGAATTGTGTCGGGATTTTTATGGGGATTGAATTGAATCTGTAGATTGCTTTTGGTAAGATTGCCATTTTTACTATGCTAATCCTACCTATCAATGAGCATGGGAGACCCTTCCATTTTCTGATATCTTCTTCAATTTTTTTCTTTAGAGATTTAAAGTTCTTATCAAAAAGGTCCTTCACTTGTTTAGTTAGTGTTATCCCAAGGTATTTTATATTATTTGTGGCTATTGTAAAGGGTGATGTTTCTCTGACTTCTTTCTTAGCCCTTTTATCATTTGTGTATAGGAGGGCTACTGATTTTTTTGAGTTGATCTTGTATCCTGCTACCTTACTTACTGAAAGAGTTTATCAGCTATAGGAGTTCCCTGGTAGAATTTTTGGGGTCACTTATGTATACTACCATATCATCTGCAAATAGTGAAAGTTTGACTACTTCCTTTCCAATTTGTATCCCTTTGATCTCCTTTTGTTGTCTTATTGCTCTTGCTAGAACTCCAAGTACTATATTGAATAAAAAGTATATAAAGAACTCAAGAAACTAGGCATCAAAATACTGAACAATCCAGTATGGATTGAAAAAATGAGCTAAAGGGCTAAACAGAGAATTCTCAAAAGAAGAATCTCAAATGGCTGAGAGAGATTTAAGGAATTGCTCAACATCCTTAGTCATCAGAGAAATGCA